GCCATATGGACGTACCTTACAATTTTGACATTAATTATTATAGACAACGAATTGGTAACAATACGTCATATTTTTATTTATTTATTGTTATTTAACCAACTTCATTATGAACAAAGTCAATGGCATATGAAGAAATTTGACATTTGAAAACACCGTGTGTGGACCGTTCTTGCTACTTTATAAATTTTATCGAAACACCATTAAAGTTACAGTGCATATTTTTAATTATGCAAGTTATTTTTTGTGTAATAAATATGTAAAGATTAATAACAAGTTGATATTAAATGAAGGAAATAATAAATACTGTGAAAAATATTAAAAATTAGTGCCAAAATACAGTGCTTATAACATAATTGTTTTTTCTGTGCAATAATCACCAAGGCTCAAGCTCTCTACAAATGGTCCTTTACACTAGTCGTGGTACCAGAAGAAATTTTGCCACGATATAAAATTACCTATTTATATGTTGCTGCTGCCACTAAATACGTGTCTAATATACCAAATGAGAAAAAAACTACTTACAATCTTCTAGGTCAAAGTGATAATGAACCAATTACATGTAAAATGGTTTTCCCACAAACGCGGACCAAAAATGCGGATGTAGAGGCAGATGTGGTAACAAATGCGGATATCGAAATCATTCCGTGTGTACTGATCCTGCCCAGCAGGGTGCGGCGCGGTCGCACTTTCGCGTCCACGCCTTTGGTCCTACACACCTACGAAAATGCGTTACGTGCTCTTATGATTGTGGAGGAATGCAGGGTTTATGTTGTTTTCGGTTTAATTCATGCGGTAGACACTGACTCTTAGTTATTCTTTCTGAAAAGCCATTTTGAATGAGGATTCTGTTTTTATCCTAGTTATACGGGACATGTCTAGAACGAAGTAACGCTATACTTTTAAAACATTTTCATTGTTATACGTTTATGAACTTATCTCATTAGTCTTTCGGTGTAAATTACGGACAACGACGGTCTTTCTTTACAATTAATTAATATATATATTTCAACCCATGCCCCTACGTTAAGGCAGTTCAATTTCTACACCGGAAATCATGGTGTGCTTGTAACTGTACAAAAGGCTATGAAAATATCATTATTTATTAATTAAAAGTATGAACTACAGATTTGAGGTCCTAGATTCTATTTCTGGTAACGTAAATTTTGAAATCTAAATTTACAAATTTTCTTCAATTCTGAGTGTTCCGAATAGTATTCCTGAAGTTAAATTCAGTGACGTGATTCATAAGGCAAGAAATTCCCTAGAAAATTAATGATAATATGTATAATCCCATATTTCATCTTTCTGACTATCAGAAATCGAAATATAGAAAATGCGTTTCAAATGGCATTTGATACTTAATCTTGATATGAGGCAGACTTTCAACTTATTCTATTAAACCCCTCGTAATTAGTGTTGTTATCTTTCATATTATCATTGTTATGATAAGCATTAACAAGTTAAAAAAAACCTCAACTAACTTTCGGTTGTAGTTATCAAAAGTTAATACTGGGACATGTGTTTCAGGGTTCATTAGTAACTTGTCAACCATTATATAGCAGGAATGTAGGTAAGTACAATAGTCACTAATTGAAAGATAAGGTACTAAGGAGAAAGCTTTTAACGTAAATAGCATCTAAGTAGACAAATAAGATCTAAAAGAAAGAGTCAATGACCTACATTGTTTGTCATTGTTTTTGTCAAGCGTGAAGATTTGTTGAAGATAGTGTGCCAAAAATCACGATACAATATTTTAAACACTCAAAAGTGTTTTAAGCTTTTTTGTTATTTCTTAGTTTTCTTTTTATGTACTATCTGAAATAAATATAAGTAAATTTAAAAATATACATATATATTTTCAGTTTTCTAAAACTGTTTTTAGAATTTTTGCATCGAAGTAAAAAATTTTTATGTCAAACAAAAAACTTAAAAAAAGTTTATCCCAATTTCATCACATCAATCATTACGCGACTTATTTACTTATATACTCGATTTATTTATTTTTAACCGACTTCGAAGAAAAGAGGAGGTTCTCAATTCGACTGTATGTTTTTTTTGCGTGTATATTATCGCGATTGCTCGCGATAACTTTTGCGTGTATGTTACGCGATAAATCGGTTCACAAATGATTATTTTTTAGTTGGAAAGAGGGTACCACAGATGTGGTCCCATTTAAATTTGAAGAAAATATTCCACCTCTAAGGGTGGCAAACCAGGGCATGAATGACTTTTATGGTCGGTTTTTTAAGTACTCTGTACTGAGATTATTTGTTCGTAGTTTTTACACTTTAAGTGTGCATGAAGAAAACTTCGCTCGCTTTTGTCGTTGCATTTGTATAAGAAATTTAGGTAGGCCTTGTAGAAAGCGCATTGAATAAATGGGAAAAAACAAACCTGAATATTTTATGCACATACATAAACTGCAAAGTCGAGTGTTGGACGTCCGTTAATATTCTTTTAAAGCGTATACCTACTCAGTTTGGCACTTAATAAATAAACGTTAATGCAAATTTAGAAGACGTCACCGAGAAGTCTTATGCCTTCAATACAATTTTAAAGCAGTTTTAGAGACTTGCTGCCAAAATACAATTTTGAAAGGAAAGAAACTGGAACAAGTTTCTTTGACGGTTTGTTAAGTAATATCGGTAATAAAATGTATGGTACTAATATTAATAAAACCTGTTTAGATGCGGTGTCAGTTGGTAATGCTGAATTAATATGTTACTTGTCGAATATAAAGACGAATACGAGGTTGATGATATAATCGTGGTACATAATTTAAAGTTTATTAACAGATTTGTATGACTAATGTACTAGAAGTGGCATAAAGAATAAGGGTCTATGGGATGGCTCCACCTGGGAAGGCTTAAATGGGTTACTTATTACTGTAAACCGGTAGGTTTTTTTTCACTAATAGTACGGTATAATCCTCTTTATCCTGGTTGATTAAACTAAAATCTATTTAGTCATGGTAACTTAATTATTTCAAAGTTATCAGGCGCTCTTCATAAGTCGAAAGCTCAACAAATATGATCGAACACAGATTGGAAACAAGTTGAAAATTGAAAAAAAGAAAAACGAGAAATAACGGAAGCTAAATAATAACCAGTCTCCCTTGCCACATTCTTTAAAACGGTTGTGTAAGTTCCTCCAATAATTTTCACCTTTGCCGCTTTAACCACAAAATCAAAGAGACTATATTTTTTTTATAAAACCCATAATAAAAATGATCGGTCAGGAAACGGTGGTTACATTAAAGGCATCATCATAATTTAATATTGCAATTTACGCACTTGGCTGAAGAAGACTCCAGGGTATAAATTCCTGGCCTCATTTCAAACCGGCTTGCAGGTTCACGAAAATTCTGCTCAGGTGCAAACTTTCACTTTAAGACGAGATATGCAAGTTCATTACATCAGTATTTTAGGTCCGAGATGAAAATGGGACAGCGGTACTTTTTGCAACTCTTCAAATTTAGTGTTTTCATTGGTAATTGTAGAGAGACTTTACATTATTGTCAAAAAAATATAATCCAGCTACTTTAGTTGGAACTACATTACGCTAAGGCTTGTAACCATTCAAAAATGGACTCTGAAAACATCAAATAAATCTAAATAGAGAAAATATAAAATAAATAAACCTTTTATAAAGATAGCTATTATTGTAAATTAGCCGAGACAGATCAAGATCAAATATGCTGATGCTTGAAAACCAAACAATGAGGGTATTTCTACCAAATTGCGTAGTTTATAGATAATATAAAAATAATCAAACGTTTTTAATTCAATTATGAAAATTAAACAATCCAGGCCCTAAACCACCGCCTTGAAGCACTGACCTCATTAGAATCTCAACCTAGTGCGGATTCACAAAAAACTCGCACGTACTTTCACTTGACGACAAGAAGTGTAATGGTTACATCATCTATGATGACCGTGGCTGTAACAATCATACTCTTGAACTCAATTATTTAATCGCTCTATGAGTTTCTTTTGTTTTATTAAAGTTACTGTGGATGGGAGCTTAAGCGTGCAGTCAAAATTTTTGTATATTTATTTATTTTGAATATTATTATTTCCTTTGCAGTTTGATAGCAACTTGATGAGTAACAAGCTTGGTTTATTATTTTGTTTGACTTAGATTTTGGAAAACATTACATCGAAGATGAAGATAATATTAACTAATCAGCAAAATATTCTCAGAAGATCTTTATTGTTTCGTTAGAATCTTTCAATTGATATGGTAATAAAGTTATGAATGGAATAATTAGTAAACTTAAAAAAGTCAAGATCATAACATTTGTGTCAGAGAGAAAACGAATTATTTGATAACTTTCAATGGCATTAGTAAACTTAATGACTAAAAGTGTTGCTAAATGTAATACTCTATCTATATCCTACGCATATCTCACAAATTTTACAACTATCTTTATGGAAAACATGCCGTAAAAAGTTTGGAAAAGTATCGTTGATGCGACAGAAAGTTTATTTTTGAGGCCATTCTATACCTTACCGGTTTCTTTCTCATATGCGATCGTGACCTCGAAATCAAAGAATTAGAAAAATAGTTACATACAGAATTAGAATGTTTTCATGCCACAATGAGCTAAGAATTTTTTTCAATTTTTTTGTGAGAATATTAAGAATTTTCTAATGTAATGGTTTAGGAATACGTATACACATCGTAAGGTGGTGACGTTTAGATTTCACCAACCAGTCAGTAGACGTACGAAAAATCAAACAATCACACTTTTTCTTTCGTTTCATTTGCACTAACATCACAAATGCCGCGGTACGTATTAGGATGTCGTAAATGCAAGCTTCGCTTTCTAACATCCAATATTTATTTTTCTACTTATCCTTACGTCTGTTGGGCTTAAACACGCAGGCCATCAGTTAGCACACGACGTCAAACTGTGCACACATACTTTACGTCAGTTTGACAAAGTTGTAGTGGGGGTCAAAGGATAAAATCCATCAGTTTTTTGGGAAGATATCATAACTTGCCCAGCGTTGGCGAAGTACGAGCACCCGCTTGGAGCATATTAAATTTTTGTTTGAAAATGTGGAAAGAAGTAGCGGTTTTGGCTATTTTAGCCACAGTGCAGTGTAGTCCAGTTCAAGAAAGTGGTATAGCTGAAAATTTAGTGGGTGCCGTATCGGAGTGCATAGACAATGATACATCGTTATGTCTTAAGGTGAATACAATGGTGAAATGAAAGAAGTGCTAATAAGTGTTAAGTGCTGTGTGCAAAAGTCTAAAATGAAAATGAAACCGTCATGATGTAGCATGTGGAAGATTCGCTAGCTATTGTTTGTCATTATTGGCGTAGTGAAATTGAAAACTGAAATCTCATTGTTTAAGAAATTCTAGATTAAAATGAAAGATTGTCATGGATGAACTTGAAATTATCACCTTTGTCACTCACAAATAGTATGCCTCGAATATAAGTGCATCAAATCAAAATCAGGGTGTTTTAAGTTCAAATGAAAAATGACAAAAAGTAATCTAGTAAACTTTCCCACAAAACTGACTGTTAATTAATTATTTATAATAAATCACAAAATTTATAATATTTTTTTGTTCTCAGGAAAAAGCACTCAAATTCACCGACCGTCTAGCAATTATAAAGGACCTAAACATCTTTGAAGGTATGACGCTGATAAATACCGGATCAGCAAGGTCAGCTCGCAGCTATGAACCTTTAGCTGAAGATCCGAAAACCAGAGAAACCCAGATTGAAGAGAGAATTGCCAACAACGTTGGAGATTTCTTGGACAATCACGTACTGCAGTTGCGTTTGTCTGAGTCGGAAGGAGAAGGACGGGAATTAGACGAGGAAGGTAAGGAAGCTTTAAAAAAATATTTGTTCGATTGTAATAAATAGAGTACTGACACGGGTGAATGATTGGACATTTGATACGATTCGACGAATTCCTTAAGACCATTTTGGAGGGAAAGATCGAGGGGAAGACGAGACCTAGGCTCATTACATAGACCAAATATAGGAAAAGGCCGGGATCTTGTCGTATAAGGTGGTCAATGAGCTGGCTTATAAGAGAGACGTACATAAGAGTACAACTCGTAAGTTTGATGATAATGCAATAAATGGTATTAAACATTGTTATAAAAAGATAATATTTTGAGTAGAGTTTTGTTGGCTTAATGAATTAATTAGTTTCCATTAACAAGTAGTATATAAAGTAAAATATTAGCAGATGTGCTAGTAACAAAAAGGCAAGTAAACCTAAGTGACTATTACAAAAAATCTCAAAGAAAAGTAAACAATAGTAAATATTTGCAGAGATTAGTGACATCTGTGGCAATAATGGAGTTTTCACTAATGTCCAAAATATTAAGTAAGACGTTAAAAATCTCTAAATTTTCTTAAAGCACCTAAGAATGTCACGTTTTGTAAAACAAACGTGAGCTTTCTCCTTTACAAATTTACATACGCTGCAGTCCTACTTGTTTTACTACAATGCGTATTCAAAGGGCTTTTACAATGGGTTGTAAAGGGAAACATGTTTCAATGGATGTCTTGTTGATATATTTTATGGCTTTCTTATTGAATGAATTTCGATGCGGAAAGAGACTTTCAAGAAAATGAACAGTTACTTAGGTTTTTCCTAGGCTAATATCTCCAATTGCTTCTGCAAAATTTTTAGTAGCAGTAGAGCTCCTTGTGAAAGAGTTTGTCCAGGGTAGTATTGCCGTCTTACCTATTTCTGCCGCCAAGCAGTAATGTCAGCATTACTGTGTTCCGGTTTTGAAGGGTAAATGTGCTGGTGAAATTACAGGCACATAGGACTTGTTAACTTATGTCTCAGGGTGACGGGCGCAGTGGCAGTGCCCCTCAGATCTTTGCGTTTTAAAGCTCTGAGTGGCACTGCAACCATTATGGACAGGCGTGTAGCTTACCATCAGGCGCACGACTTGTTCGTACCGTCACATTATATTATAAAAAAAAATTGATGTCACGAATTAAAATAATCGGCGTTCGAGTTGTAATGTGTGATTAGAGGTAACTGCCAAATGTTTACTATTGAATAACTGTCCGTATTATATTATATACGTCTGTCTATTATAATATCGTCACATGGTCATGTGTCGCCTAATTAATTGTAATTATAACAACATTCATCTTTTTTTTTATAGCTCGTGGCAAGAAGAAGAAGAAGATCAAGCAGCTGCTCCCCATCCTTCTCCTCCTCAAGTTGAAACTTGCTGCTCTTATTCCACTCTTCCTTGGCATCATCGCCTTCGCCGCTCTCAAAGCGGTCTTCCTCGGAAAAATAGCTTTCGCTATGAACGCCTTCACTCTTATCAGAAAACTCTTAGCAAAGGGTGGTCACGGCTCTGGTGGTGCTAGCATCAGCTATTCTTCCCCTCACCATCATGAGGAGCATCAAGGATACAACTACGAACCTGCTCAGGGTTGGTCCAGTCGCCAAGACAGCGACGCTGCTTCAATGGCATACTCTAGCCAACTCAGAAAGTGAATAGGACAATTAATGAATGTATTTATTATGTGTGTGTGAGATAGTATTTATTTCTGTGTGGAATGCCAGTGGCCATGATACAAGTACCTCAGTCTTAATTTATTTTTTATTTATTTGTATGAATAAATTATTTGTTTTGAAATGTGTTATTGATTTTTTACTGTAAAATTATGAAAAAATTACTTAACACAGGAAAATATGTATATATAACAAAGAACACGAATTACTTAGAAGATGTATTCAGTCAATAAATAAATAAATTACGAGTATTTTACAAATTTGGTGACAAGCCGATTTTGTAAGAATTAGAAATTCAACGAAATAGTTCCTATATTGTTTAAAATGTTGGCTCTTAGTTGAATATCATTCTTCAAAATCGAAACGAAAGAAAAAGCGTCCTGGATATTGCTAACATATTAATATTAATGAATTCAAATCTATGCCACTCTATCGCATAGTGTCGTCTTAGTTCCGAAGTATATTTCTTTAAAATGGTAATTCAAGTAAACAACTGAGTGGGGGCATTTGAATAAAAAACCTTGACCTATCAAATAGGCATCAGAGTCAAATTCATCGTACATCGGCACGTGCTTCTCACAGGAACAAAGGCAGGAAGAGCAGATAAAACAAAAATGAAGTTTTTGTTAGTTCTCAGTGTTGTGGCTTTTGCCTCGTGCAGTCCAGTGGCTCAAGATAATTCAGTGATGCGTTCGGTGCTAACAAATGTGATGAATTGCATTAACAGTGATTTGGGAATTTGTTTGAAGGTATGTGATGGACATTTTAGTGACAGGAAATACTTAACAAACAAGTGATAATAAGTTGCTAAGAGCAACTAACTAATGAAACAATGCTGCAATCAGTTATTTTCTCATAGGTCATTAATACAATTCCTATTACAATTTACTAGAGATTCTTTTACGTCTGTTTGTTGAAATTTTAGTTAATATAATAATTGATTTTTGGCGAATTTTAATATCTGGACCGGATCCTTTGAATTTTAAAAAACTAGCTTCGAAACTACTTTTCCAGAATCTAAAATCACGTATATTTCATGAATCAAGTTCAAATTCACACGCAATATAATTTAATCGCATATATTACATTAAATAATCCATCAACATATTAACGGTTAAAGCTATAAAATTTACTTAATACCTTACAAGTTTCTAAAGTAACAGTGCAAAGGTATGCAGTCTATGACGACGTGCAATAATCGTTTTTGTTCTTGAAACAGGAACAAGTTCTGAAAGCAACTCAACGTCTTGGTTCTGTACGTCAACTGAAGGTCACTGAAGGGATCATATTTCTCAACAATGCACCCATAGAAGCCAAATCCCTGGAGCTGTCTGAGGAACCTGAAGTCAGAAAGAGGCAGCTGACTGAGAAGCTGTGGGAAAGCGCGACCGATTTGATGAAGAATACCGACTTGGAGCTAATCCTGCCTACTCCCGACGATGAGGAAGAATCCAGAGCTCTTGACAGCAATGGTGAGAACTAACGCATCTTTAAAGGATAATATAGAATTTAACACACATGCAGAACCAAATCTGTTTGTACACTTTACTTAGTTCGACTTAAACCATTTATAACAAATTTTGAGTCAGTTAAAGTCAAGACACAGGTACGTCCAAACTTGAGAAAATTTCAAATTCGAACTTACAATGTTTCCTTTTTTACAGTTGAAGAAGGCCGTGGCAAGAAGAAAGAAATTAAGAAGAAACTTAAAGTGTTGATCCCTCTCCTTATCCTCGCTAAGATCAAGGCTGCAGCCATCATCGTTCTTTCCTTGGTAGTGATCGCTGCCTCTATATTCAAGATTGCTGTTCTTGCCAAGATTGCCTTCATTGCTAAGGCTATCTATATCCTCAAGACTCTTCTCCACAAGAAGCACGAGGAAGACCATGGTTGGATTCATGCTGCCCCCCAAGGGCATGGTTGGGAAGCTCCTTCACACGGGTGGGAAGCTCCTTCTCATGGTTGGGAACGTGGGTGGTCTCGCTCCAAGAATGACGGAAATAACCTGGCTTATTCCGCCTACTCTAGCTAAGCTACCAAAAACTGCAATGACAAATTTATTCGTATTTTCTCTATTTGGGGCATGAGAGATGGTAAATTAACGTTCTCCAATAGTAGATTTTTATTCGATTTACATTGTTTATTCTCATTTGAGAAAAAAGTATGAAAAAATGTCGTTCAATTGTACAAGATGGTTTCTTATCGACGATATTTATCGCAGTAAGATTATTTATTGGTGTGTATGTCATTAATTTTTCTTTTCGGTCATTTTATAGGCTTTATTACTAAATCGGTAAGTACTGTCTTTAATAATCTGACTGAAAAGGAATTATTTATTTATTTATGGTGTGTATTTTGTGATATTATTGTTTTTCTTTTTTATATATATATTTTTTGTCTTATTCTTATTACTATTGTATCCAAAGTATTGTCTAGTTATTAAATTATTGTTAAACTTATTTATTGAGACTGTTTTTATTTTATGTGTAATATATACTTTGGTTATAGTTTTAATTATTTTTCCATGCCAATGTAAATTATATAAGTTTATTATTTTTAGTTATTTCGATCTCTTGTTTTGGTTTGAACAGGTTTTGATTATTTTTGTACGGTATCGTGTATCACGAGATTCGTGTATTTATTTGTATGTCATGTTTTTGTGTGTATGTGTGTGTGTGTGTGTTTGTTGTCTTTTATTTTATGCACTTGCCATGTATTATAGTGTTTATAATAAATCAAAAAGCAATGATTAATAAAATGGCTTTCGTTTATTTGGTTATGTACCCTTATTTTATTTGGTAAGTTCTCTATAATATTGATATTCAAATTCATGGCACTATTCTGCACCTTCGGTGTGATGAGGCCACATCTGCCAAATAATACGTTTTTAAGAGGCAGTTCAATGATTTTACAAGCGAAATTAGTCGTCGACTTGCTTAAATAAATAACTTAAATGAAATAGGAGAGTTATAAATAAATAATAAATAACGGACATACTCATTGCCCTGCACTTCGGAAACCCTGTATCGCGGGTGCATGAAGACATACATAGACAACCACAAATTACACCCAAACTCACGAGAGAAATGAATGTAGGCCAAATAAATCTCCCGGCACGGTAATCGAGTCAGGGACCTCTGCGTGGCAGACCAGCATGGCGTAAAATTTCATATATATACATAATTTGTTTCAAGCAGTTCGTATTATTTTTACGAATTTCATGTGAATAAAGCATTTTTGACGTATAGGTCAATTTTATAATTTGTCTAATTGTCACTGTTTACTACGTAGATAAATGGATAATGAAAATCGGTCTACAAAATTATATGACTTGTATTCTTCAGTTCTACAGTTATTTTCTGGAATAAAAAAATATATTTGTCGTTGCAACAGTTGCACACGAAAACAGAGAGAATAGAATGACATGAACCGGCGCGGGTGTCGCGAACCACAGAGTATCGGCCGCTAGTGACGCGCCGTATCAGTCAGTCACTTTACTCCAATCACCACAAAACGTCCACCCCAACTCCATTTCAGAATTTAAAATTATTTTATATTTAATTTAAATTTCTTTAAATATTAACATTTTCCAGATTTGTAATAAAGACTACTAAATAAATAAATACAAATCATGATTACGATTTTGTGCGTGCGTGCCAGGCTAGAATGCACCGTAAATATTGATTAACTAGTTCTCAAACTTATCGCATGGTGTTGATTTACACTAATTCATTGTAATACCAACGGCTGTTATCCGCTTGGTCATAACAAAACCTAATTAACGACTTCCCTTATTGTTGTAAAATATACTTCTACAATACCTGTGCATACAGGATGTAAATAATGTATTTTATGGGCAATAATTATGATCAATTTCTTTGTCAATTACTTGAGTCTCTGATTGGAAATTGATTCCTGGGCACTTCCTAGACGCCAAGAGCAGAACCAATTTAGAAAACTTCGTTTCCAAATGGGAATTGAACCTCCTCATCTTGCGCTCATAGTTCACATAACTGGTTGATGACTTTACCACCTCAGTCAACCGTGACCATGGAACCTGTAAAGGGTCCGAATCGTTAGTTTGTTTGAAAACACAAATATACGCGAGCTAATATTAGAAATAGAAATAAAAAATAAATAGAAAATTCAATAGGAAAAATAGTTTCATTTCCTATACCTAAATAATACTTAGAACAATATGAACGTGAGTGATAATGAGGTGAAAGATGTGTGTCAGAATCGTAGCAAGTGTAAGGCTGTGGTCTCTGTCTACAACGATGATAAAAAGGCGTAAACTGAAGCTTGAGTTCGCTACAATGCCACCTATCTCGTCACTACAGAACTAATAAGTAAAGTTGCCTACCTAACTTCACTTTTCTCCGAGTAACGACTCCAAATCAAACGCCTGCGTTAATTCTACGAGCTGAAGAACAGTGGCGCGGCAGTGAAAGCTTTCTCCTTTCACTAGATTAACTTGCGCAACATGACCTTGTGACTTGGCTAAAGAAAAATGAACAGGCGTTTTTAATGAAACTTTATTGGGAATCTTTTCATTTTAAAGTTGCTACTTGCGTAAGCAATAAGCAATAAGTAATGGCGTAAGCAATTTTAGCAATAAAAGGTGTACTATCACTGATAATGCAATGTATGCCAGGTAGCTTCTATACAGGAATGCAGTTTCTATAAAACTTAAGGATTAATTCTCGTATACTGCGAGTTTTCAAGATTTGGAAATAAACTCGCGTCCTAATTTAAAAAACAATCATATTTGTTAAGTTTATTGATTGTCACAATGTTTGACCACCATGATATTTAATTATTTTTGTGAAATTACTCGACTAGTTTGTTATAATGACTAATATAAAGATCGAAAACTTCGAAAAAATTCCTTCGATCCGGGTGGATTAGAACTAACAAACCGTTGCAGACGCTATGCCAACTAAGCCACGGAACGAACTAGCGGACTTTACGGGTTTTTCTATGTGCTTCTTGCAGAACTTTGCAGAATTTATATTCTAATAAATTCTTATTCGAAACATCAAAAGATCGTTCCCATGGTATAAAAAAGCCACATCATTACGTTAAAAGTGCTTTAACACATGAACAAATTATGTAGATTATGCACACACAGGAACAAAAACAGTACAAAAACAACTTAGAACTAATGTGAGCAAAGCCGGCCTTAACGTTTAGAGCGATCTTTTCCAGTCAACCGTTGCGGAAAGCTAATCCGAGAAGACGTAGTGTATCAATGGTAAAATTTGAAATGTATAAATAAGAATTAACTTTATAATTATTGTCAAATAGTAGGTATACCTAAGTGAAATTTCAAAATATATAAAGTTATCGATTAATTTCGTTCATAGAATTCCTAAGCTTCTTCTGTGAAAAGTTATTCTGCAGATGTGACCTTATTATACCAAGGATGCGACGTTTTTAAATCTCTATAAGTAATTATTCCGTTCCGAACGATACGTTTCCGAAACGTACCGTTCGTCATTTCAATGCATTGACTAGGTCAATGTTTCAAGGTCAAAATTACGTCTTTTGTCAAAAGTGCACTTGTCTATGGCTACATTGTATTTATAATCTCTCCAACAGCGGTCAGTCGAAGAGCTTCTTAAAAAAATAAATACCTTGCTGCTGCGTAATCGTTAGCGTTCTTAATCGGAATTAGCCTACAATATTTAGCCGCCATCAGGCCGCCATTAAGGAAAAATATAATAATAACACATTACGCGCGATATCTTAATCTCGACTGCCTCTGAGAACTAGTTGCATGTCGAGTGCTGACTAGTGCTGAGCGTCGACTTATGTCTAACGTGAGATTATGAGTACGAAAAATTGTTTGCGGTTGACATCCGCTACATTATTTCTAAATTTATCTTCTGTAACATTTACTCTGTCGCCTAAGGGCGAGTTCCCATTATGTCGTGACGACAGATAGTCATTTAAAGCAGTTTAAAGTGTCGTGACTTGTATATATAAATTAAGTTGTTCACACATAGAACAACAACTGTCATTCACAACTTTCTTGACACTACGACGACAGTCTGTCGTAACAATGTTAAGAGCTAGAACGACAGTCGTATGACGATAAATAAAAAGTGACGACAGATAATCGCAGATTCAAACGATTCTATCGGGCAAACGACAAGGCGGCTGCCGTGGGAACAGCTAGACACGACAGATTCAACGATAAAATAAACGTCCACGACACAATCACGACAGATAGTTGTGATATGGGAACAGGTTAGACGCGACAGTCGTCCAACGATAAATAAAACGTTACGGCATAATGGCAACGCGCCCTAACTCGAAATTGGGAGACAGGCGTGATGATGATGTGTATGTATAAAACCCAATATACCAAAAAGACCGGTCGACTTGCAGAGCTCCTTGTGAAAAAGTTCGTCCAGGGAAGTACTGCCACTTTTCTCACACACTCTCGTCTTTTAATTTTGTCGAATATTACTTATTTGTCAGTAATTGTTTCGGACGAATGTCGGACGGAGATCGAGAGTAGACCCCCAGATATCACTTGTACACCTAAAGTTAAAATGATCCCTGTGACATTTCGGATTTGGAACAGATACGAAACGGACGTAGTGCGTAAGCTAAAGGTGCTGGTGAAATTATAAGACTTCGGACCTGTAAACTTATGTCTCAGGACGACGGGTGTCATGGCAGAGCCCATCACATCTTTTGGTATCATGACAATAATAATAATTTCCTCTACGGATACTTCTTCACATCCTGCAGTGTAGTCACACTTAAATTTTTGACAGTAGAGATTTATGACACGAGATTCTTCACAAAAGGAAGTAAACGAGGCTCTTAAAGACAGCAACGGTGTTGCAAAAGTACATCAGCTACTATGGCCACCATCTATTACTCTATATAGAAAAGTACCTACTAGTAGTAAGTAGGTACAGTAACATTATGTTTCAAGTACAAAATTATGTCGTAAAAATAGAAAGACAGTAAAAAAGAAAGGTCTAAGAATAGCATTGTAATAATAGTAATCATGGCGCGGTAATAATAAATAATACACCTACATACTCGTGAGAGTTATCTAAGATGAATTATTACTTTTGTTGCCTATTGTTTCTATGAGGCATAATCTCAGTACAGAGTACTAAAAAAACCGACCTCAAAAGTGGAATTACATCAATTTGCCAAATTTTATTGAAATCGGTTACCGGAAAGTACACGAAATCGGATTCATCCCCTAGTTTGCCA